TGGGAACAGACAGGAAGCCTCCAAAAGAGCAGCAGAAACTCCAGCAAGGCCACACTACCTATGTACAGTTCTGACACGACAATACTGAATTCCCTCCAGCTATGGCTATATTACTGACTAGTATTCAAGACAACTTGGGATTTTTTCCAAAAGTTTTCTTCTCCATGTTTGGAGTTTTTTACTGCAGTGAGGCTGCGCAGTACCAGAAATGTTTTCAGAAGTCACAGTCCTGCAGGAACATGAGCATATAGGTAAAACATGCAGGTACTCTAGTGATGGTTTTCACCGAACAATATGAAATAGTTAAATCCTTCAAACCCCCTCCTCCTTCCACCCCCAAAACCAGAATTACTTCCTTCTTATATTTTTTTTCTTAAATAAGAAACTGATGGGAAAAATTAGTTTCAAGTTTTACCTTAAGATGGTCGTCTTCCCCCAAGTTTTGACTATGGGTGACTGTGCACTTGAAAATATCTGAACACCACTGTTCTAAAAAAATTCTGGGATATATTACTATTATGAAGCTAATCTGTAGTAACTGCTCCTCTGGAATATAATCTCCTTCACAGGGCCTTTCCCAGTCTCCTGGCAGCCAGATTTGGGACTCCAAGCTTGAAACTGTGAGCTTCCATTTTCAAGATGAGAAAATACTGGAATGATAAGAAACTTAAAAGTTAAACCATTTCAGACCTGCTCACACCAGCGTGAGAGATGCTTGTCTAAAATTGTGTGACTTTATCTTTTACAGGTCAGTTAAGCTGGCAAGAGCCATAACAAAAACAAAGCATTTTTTCTACATCAGGCACTTTATCAAACAGCAGTGAATCCTTGTTCTTAGGGGGAAAAAAAAGGAATCAAAGCAATAGGTCACTGAGCTTTATTCTTCTACTGACTAAATTTATCATGCTAGAATTTGTTCCTGTGAGAGTCACAATCTCCTTAGCCTATTTTTACATTTTGCTTCTCTTTTAGATCCACCTCCTCAATGCAGAGGTTGTTCCACATACCATTCTCACCAATTCAGTAACATCCTGTTCGTGATGAGAGTTCCCGGTTCCTCACGGCTGGATGTTATGCACGTACATGGTTGATTCAAATATGATACGAAACTATTTCTGTGCAAAAACTAGATCAGTTTATTGTACAATGAGAAGGACTGAGCACAGTCCTCAACAATTCTTACAGCAATTCTGGTTTTCCTCTCCCTATCCTCAAAAGAAATCCAACTAGACATGGATTTCATCGCTCTCATTGGCTTCACTACTGATATCCAATTTTTAAGCAGAAAATTTATACCAGATTTCTCAACACTTAACCATGGAAGCTCTAGATTTTTGTTGTTGTCTCCATGTGTTTCTTGTAGATATTTTATTTGCTTTTTAGGATCTCTTCTACACTCAGTGACTATTTTTAGACTCCTGCAAAATTCTCTAACACCCATACTTTTTGATTCAAGCTTTTCTTTCCTAAAATTTAAGTTACTCGGTAAATCATATACAAACTGAGGAAGTATTAAATCATTCTACAATTGTGTTCTTTATATTTTCATTTCTCTTTATGATTTGATTATGGGGGTTTAAATGAGGTTTTCAGACACATACAAACTCACCCCAATGGCCTCACTTTCTTACAGTAAAATACAAGATTTAACAAACTCTTTTATATCAGAAATAGTGAAAAGTCTCAAGCCAGACTATTAGAATAAGTCAGGGCCCATCATGGATGCTGTCACATTAAGTGGTCATGGTATAGCAGAGTGCCATGGAAATACACAAGGAGAAAGGGGGCAACCAAAGGCTGAATTCTCTGCCAGGGAAAGCCAGGCAACAGCAAGTTGGGATCATCAGCCTACTCTTCTGTGGCCTACAGAAAGGGATACCAGTAAACAAGAATTTATAGCAGCACCAAAGGTACAGTGAACACCAACCATTAAAACTTTTTTCGTTACTGTTTTTGGTAAACACGTTTGCAAAACCCCTGAAGGAAAGTCCACACAACCCTAGACCCTCCAACCATAATCAGTGTCTGCTTTCCTGCTGCAAGAGAACAGCAATCTCAGAATGACATAACTAAATACTATGAAGAGGAAACTAGTGCCTAGAGGTTTAATGCAATCTGACAGCTCCTTAAGGTACCATTTAATCAGAGCATTAGAAGGCAATCACCAATTTCTATGTAAGTAAACTATCAATAGACAGCTGCCTACTTGTATTTGAAAAATGTGCTTTCATGGGAGAATGTTTTTCTTGCACACCTGATAACGAAAAATTTAGTCAAACTGCATTATTAAAAAACACTGGATATTGCAAGTAGCTTACAATCCAGCCCTTTAACAACAGTGCCTTCATGTGTTTATTATAGGCATTTTATTATTTTAAAGCTAAGATTCAACTATGTTTTACAGTTGTAATTCTGTCCTCCTACATATCCACAAGCAAATTTGGTCAATTTCAAATTATTTGTAAAGCCTCCTACATAGAAAGGAGTTTGAGATTTTAAAATATACTAAGTTTAAAATAAACAAAGTCAACCTACCAGTGTCATAAACCTCGTGAACTGTCTATTTTTTGTTCTAGCCTAATAAGGCATCCTAAAGTGGCAAGAACCAAATTGTGAGAATGACTGTCCTTGGCCAGAGGTTGTATGCATATCGTATTTCATAACATTTTAATGATGTTTATTATATAAGTTTCCCTAATTAACTTCTAAACTTACTTCTACATTTGGCATCTGTAACATCCTGTGGCAATGAGTTCCAATATGTAATTATGTGTTCCATGAAAAATCACTTATTTTAAACCTACTGCTGGGTAAGAGCTAGGAGTCATCAAAAACGTGTCATCAGAAATGATGAATAATCATGATCTCCCCATCCTCTCCATAACATTAGCAGCTTTATATACCTCTTGCATTTCTTCTGACCTAATTTCTTTTCAAAGCTGCAGAGTCCTAATCATCCTGTACAGGTATCTCTTTCTCCACACATAACCTGGTTTATCCTTAATAAAAGAAAGGACATCTGCAACTGCTGGTACTATTTCAGATCGGTCATGGATGTCGTCATGATGTTTGTATAGAACGATAATGCAATTTCAAGCCCTCTTTTTTGAATAGTAACAATTTAGACTGCCATGCATGTTAATTAGCCAGTTCCCTCCTGCAAGCATTACTGTATAATATTGTATAGTTAATGCACTTGCCATTCTTCCCACAACTGTTCACAGATTTAAAGGATCTTAATATCGTGAATGGTGTATGAGTACAAGCTGATATTTTGTTGTTTAGCTCCTTTCACAGACTTATTAAAGCAGTAAAGATCTTCATATAGATCCCTGTAGGAGTCTACTCTTGGTTTGTGATAACTCATCTTCTATTCTCATTCTTTTTTTTCCTATCTTAAATAATTATCAACCAGAGAGGACTTCTTCCCTACTGTTGTGACTATCTGATTTCTTCAAGAAAGAAACTTTGCCAGAATTTGTGATGGACTAGGATGGTTAATTCATACGGGATATACAGTTCTAACATGACCATGAACTCACATCCAACTAAGCTACAATCTGTCTACAACAATCATGTTGGCTCTTTTTTGTTACTTTTTATTCTATGTGTACATGTTCATCTTCATATTTCTAAATGCATATCTTCCCATTTGACTATGAAGTGTTAATTAATTTTGATAAAGACTGAAATAAAACTTTCTGGGCTGTAGCTTCATGCAAATTATGCTACATTTCCAAATTCAGTGATTATGTATTCAAATTACTCCAGACCTGTTATTTTTCATTTTAATCAGCCTGATTTCAAAATTCTTCCCCAATGCTTGAGTTTGAAACAGACCACCTGAGACATCTTAAGTAAGCTCCAGTGAAAAAAGCTCCATATATCCTCTATAATTAACAAAAATGCAAAAAGAATCTTTGTGAAATTTGGTGCTAAATATTTATCTTCTGCTAGTGTTCTCACAATATCTTGATTCCTATTGGGCCTGGAGACTACTAGGTGTCTTGTTTGTGATGTGATTGAAAAATTTCTCAAAGTTCTTTCTGTGTCTGTCTTCTGGGTTTCACACATAACTTACCAGTTTCGCATCCAAGTGTTTCCTACATTTGGTTACAATCTCTACTTTTTGAAGTCTCTTTACCTGTTAGAGATTTTCCTCCTTTGCAGTTCAATAATACTGAATTTGGGGGTTCTTTCTCTCCCTTATGACAGATGGCAGATGTTTAACATTTAATATGGTAGCACTTGACACCAGTAAAAGCCTTATCCTTTTAGCTGTTCCTTTTGACAATTTCCTAAGAAACATGCTCCCTTAGGCACAGTTCTTTCCTTAAGACGTTACAGGAACATATTTTACACTTCCTCTTAAAACAACATGGCAAACATATTCATTATGGTTACTCTTGTAGGGCAGCCCAACAGTAATTTCATCTTAAACAAGGTCTTGTGCAATGCATGTTTGTCAAGAGCTACTACTCTTGTGAGCTGACAGCTTACCAGAAAGCCCAATACATCATCCTTCACTTCCACATTTACTGAGTCTTCAGAAACATAACAGAACCATGTAATAACAGGAAATGGTTCTTCCTTCATCTTTACCTCCTATAGCATTTCACAGGAATGTTCCATCTCATTAACACGGCCAGTGTAACCCTCACCCTCTTTTGCTCTATTTGCACACAAATTCAAACCATAAATGTACTTTCCTGTCTAGACAAACACAGCTTTGACCACAAACCCCAACACAGAACAATGCATCTCCCAGAGTAGTTTGCATTCTTGTGTCTGCATAAATGTTTGCCCTTATACTAACATCCTCTTGTACCAATTTTCTGCGATGTCAAATATGTCAACATCTGGATTTCTAACCAGAATTCCATCTCTCATACTCAATTTTTCACATTTCAGATTTTGTCCAGAAGATCATCTGCAACTGCTACTGGTCTAATTGACTAATTCTAATTTTTTATAAAGAGAAGCAAGTAGGAAATACATACATGACGGTGTTAATCCCTGACAGTTGTTGAAACATCTGCAGACCACAACCCACAATTAAGGCTCTTCGAGTTGGAGGGTATGTTAGCATTCTGCAGATCACAGGTCCAGCTTAAAAAAAAACAAGACAACAACAAAAGAATACATAATAGTTCTTAAGTGATCACTATCAAGAAAACGTTGCCAGACATAGCAGGCTTTGCACCTTAGTTTCAAACAAACTTGAATTATTTCAATTATTTTTGAACAATTCAGTCCTTTCAGTTCTGCTTTTCTGCACTGTACTACAAAGACGATTTTCAGGAAGCCCAAGCAAAAAAATGAAACAATTTTTGTACAGTGTCTGCTACTGATGTCAAATGTACAGCTCTCCTACATCATACTAACAGATGGCACATCTGCTGCAACTGAATGTACTCAAGAGTTATTACAAAATATCTCTGTTGTTTCCTTTCTAAAAGCTTCCACTGTTATTGAGAGGTTGTTTCAGAAATGCCATTACTCACTGCTAAGATCTGGATTTTGGAGATGAAGTGTTCTCCCTAGTCCCCAAAAGACCCAATTTCCACAAACCAGTTGCAAGTGTGGGTATTTGAAGGTATATGATAGATCTATTCTGCACAGCTCTAGAGGCCTGCAGAGGGAGCAGAAATTAATTACATTTTTCCATACTTTTGGTAGCAGTGGTATGAGGCTGCATTCAAAATGCAGAAAACAGTTTCTTAATGAAGAAAAAACCACCAAATTTCTGGCTAACAGAGAAAGTTTTATTCTCTATTTAAAACTTTCAAAGTATCCTAGGGGAGAAAAAAAGTAGTACAGAAAGCTATGAAAGAATAGGAAAAAATTTAAAATCCCCAACTCTAGTATTCACACGAATTTCTTTCTGCACAGAGTAGTGCTTTTTCACCTGCTGAAATATTTTATGTCTTACACATCTTATCACATCTGGCATACCCACTCAGAACATCTAATCACAATATGAATAGGTGAAAATTGCTGCCACCCAAAAAAAAAGGGAGGTGGAAAAGGATCTACAATTTTACATTTTCAAAGTCTTTTCTAAAAATACAGAAAATATTAAAAGTATTGGTTCAGTAAAAAACCCTACATGGGTTTGTTAGTGAAGAATTTACATGCAGAGTTCCAGCTTCAGAAAGCTGACAATCTTTGAACAGTTTCAAGAGTGCGACTCAAGCAAGGGGTTTAGATAATACTTTCTTCATTGAAAGATAATCAGACCTGCCTAAGAAAGGTTTATTTTCATTTAAACTGATGGTATTTATAATTCGTATCTCAATTGTATCATCATTTAACTTTGCTTCCTTAATATTAATAGCAGAATACACCCTGATGAATTTTCTAGTTGGTTTACAAGAAACATTAACATTTGGACAGTACACAGTCCCACATGTCCTCCCATTTAGCCACACCATTACCTCAAAATGTCTTCAAGCAAAATCAAGTGACAGATAAATCTGGTGACAGATAAATAGAGTCAATCCATAGATCTCATAACATATTCTCAAGTAAGACACATGACATCACTGGGCCGACCAGTACATCAAAGGGTTCCATAGTCAAAGTGGCATTTCCTCGGTGGAAAAACCACAAAGCCGGCACTCACTTCTAGCTAGGAGCAGTCCAGAGATCAGACATACTCTGGGATTTCTCCTCAACTCCAAGCTTCACAAAGAAAAAAGATTTACTAACAAATGTACCTATGAACTTTAATTCACCAGCAACAGCCCTCAGGGTTCTCATATTTGGCATCACACCTGAGCATGGAGGCTTTGGGCTTAAAAACCTTATCTGGCAACTGATTCTGCAGCATCTATTCTATATCCAGGCTGTTGAACCTTCTGTTCTTCATAAACTTCCTGTAAGGGCCTTAACTGAGTTCAAAATCTATCTTTATCCTCAAGGGACCTTTCAGCCAACCTACATCTTACAGTCCATCATCAGTGGTCATGCTCATTGAATAAGCTGGAACTCTACAGCAGGGGCTGTCAGGCGAGTAGGCAGAAATGTCCTAAGGAACTGATGCAACTGATGTCCTGATCCGCTCATCTATTTTATGGAAGTTATATAAATTCTGTTCACAATGACCCATTGTACAAAACAATTGGAAAGGAGGCACTAAAATGAATAGCTAGAAATTAAAGCAGCTGTTCTCAGACAATGGCTTGCAACTCAGAGGGAGTCATGAAGTCTCAACAAAACTCCATTGCACAAATCAGTTTGTGCACTTGAAGTGGGACCCTGCAGAAATTTTGCAACAGAGCACATGCACTAAAGTTTGGACCTTTACATTAGAATTTCATACTTTAAACATTTAGAACATTCAGTCAGCTAAGTTCAGTAAGCACCCAGAATTTTTCAGACTTCTGATTAATTGTATCATAAAAATGATGATAAAAATTATCATACTCGCCCAAGTCAGTGTTTAAAAAGATTCACTCCAAATCTGTACCATGGTAACTGCCACATATAAATAGGCATACACAAAATTAAAGGATTTTCTTTCATAAAATTCACAGCCTTCAGGTTTACAAACCAATAAATGGAATGAAAGAAATAAAAGAAACTGCTAATCTCTATATTAATGGAGCTTTACCAACTCAATGAAAAAGCCCAAAGGACTTTGACTGTGAGGTGAGTGGTTTTTAAAACAGAAAATGAGTGTGAAACTTTTTATTAAAATTATCTAGCTCTGAAATTAACTATATTGTATTTGCATTTTCCTATCATCAATCCTTCCATCCATATTGTTGAGTTCATATGTTACAGTCTTCTTAAAAATAAACACCTCTAGGCAGAACATGGGTTTTAACTACAGAGAATGGGTCTAAAGTAAAAAATGAAAAACAAACCAAGTTTTCAGAATTAAACACATTTTTCTTCTGAAAATCAGTCTTCTGAAAACCAAAACTGTACTTCAGTAGTTTCTGATAACCCTTAAATATGCCATTAGTTATGACAATACATTAAAATGGCACAAAACAATAAAATCATTAAGTCTTTAAAAAACGGAGCAACTTAGCTGCTCATAGAACTAGAGGACACAGATGATTTAAACATAAATCCCAGGAAAAAAATTAGACATCTGGTAATTTTTACAAAGGAAAAATAGATATTTGTCTCCAAAAAGTCAGATTTTTTTTGTTTGTGATACTTCCGTCTTAATTGCTGTTGTTTTTTTTCCAGTTAGATTTAGACACATTCCTGCATCGGAACCACTTCATTTAACTTGAAAAACACCAAGATGTTTGTTTTCCTTCTTCTAATCTATGAATAAAAATTAAGTCAGAAGGATGAGATCTCCTAATGCCATGATTAATTCAGTGAGACTAGATTTGGTTGGATTTTTTGTGCTGTGGTTTCAGACAATTCCTTTATCTGAAGTAAATTTCTTTAACACATAATTTTTACAAAAGTTCAAAACACGCTACAGCTTGCTCTAATAAGAGTCCAAAATGGCAGCATGAGATAAAGAGTAATGGAAAAACAAGGATACTGCTGCTGTAGAAGGTGACATTGCTTGAAGTGGTGATACTTGAAGTGGATTGCTGTGATCCAAGTGGATATTTCATAGCTTGATCCAAACTGTCTACCAAACTAGACATTCATCCTTATAAGCAAAAGGCAAAATATAGGATTTGGAAGTTTAGCTTCACATCCAAAAAAACCTTATTAGATTACACTGAGTTAAACAGGGGAGGAGAAGCTATTCTTGTCAAACCATTACTTCTGAGAGTGAGTGATGCTTTCCAAATATTACAATTTAATGCCAGTTTCCTATATTTTAGCTGTTATCCTTGTTATTAGGCATAACCCACAAATTAGGTTTGGACATTTCGAATCCCCTGGCAAAGGCACTTTGATTTTCCTCTGCAGATAAAATGAAGTGTATGGCAATCATAGGAGCTTGGGTACGATCCACTGCCAACTAAAAGACAGAGATAATTTTCAAAGGCAACACAACAAAAGCTCTAGTTCTAAAACGAGTTTATATAATGAAAGCAGAAGAATGGGTATTAATGACATCTTAGCATCTCCGTGTGAAAATGTACTGCATTCTCTTCCAGGGGAATAAAAATATTGTAGGATAAAATCCCACAGCAAATGCAGGCAGACATCTGGTGCTTGGAAATCTTGTGATTCCCCATCCCACAAATTATTAGAAGAACACCTACCAAAATTTCACAGCCAGGAAACTATGGTTAGAGACTGGGCTCTGCCAAAGTCATTTGCAGGTTCAAACATTTATTTGCCAGCTAATCTAGGTAACAGCTTGTAGCAACAGCCTAAAACTATGTAGGGATCCTGCCAGCATTTCGTGCTCTTGCTGTTTCCAAAAAAGCAGGCTTAGCCAAGCAACAAGACAGTCACTCATCAGTTTAGCATCAATTAAGCTCAAGATTCAGACTTGTCTTCTGGACCTTTTCTTGTTCTAATATCAGTCAATACCCTCTCTTCCACCTAGATAAATCTTCAAGCAATTGAGCTACAGTTAAAAATAAGGGACCAAAGAAAAGAAAGTTCGGGTTTGTGATCTCAGTAACAGAGGACAAGCATGGGAACCATTTCTCTGTTTTAACTTTCCTTACAAAATGACAGCTTCCAGTCCAGCTTTCTCTGCATCATCTGCAGAACCTTCCTGCAGAATCTTACTTCACCAAAGACTCCTCCTCTAAAGCACTTAGATCTAGCTATTATTTTCTATGTATGAATGATATACTAAAGTAAAAACCCTTTTCCTCTCCTTGTCTATTACATGATTATTTTCTGAAAGTATCAACTTTATTCATTTTTCCTTTATGTAAAATTTAACAAATCAAAAGATAATTAGCTTTAAGATCAAAACTGCATTAACTATGCTGAAAAGATGCAAAATAATTTTACTTAAGCACCATGTTCTTTCCCACTGTCTTATATTGTTCCCAGTAATGTCGGAAGAACCACTCCCAGTATTAGAAGAAACTTCCTCCCTCATATAGTTCACTAATCCTTTGAGAAAGCTTGCTTGAGGTTTTTTAACTTTCTTCTTTACAGCGTGGTTCCCTATCAGCCAAGAAGGAGAAAGGATCAGTAGCTTGCCTAATCATGAG